TAGGTTAATGATAGTATTGATTTTGGGGGTTCTGTTTTTCTGCTGCCGACTTGCTAATTATACTGCTTGTGGCAGTTTGGCTCTGGCTCTAATTGCTGCTGGATAGCTGCGGAATACTGGAATACGCTGCATGGCATTTGTAGACGAAGCTCTGCTCTGCATATTTGTTGAGTATTGTGATTAGGTTATTTAATAGTTTGACACGGCAACAGGGCAGTGTTCATTATTCAAGCCAAATACGTGTCTGGGTTGAAAATTTGTTTGCGACATCTTGGCTGAGTAAAAAATTTTCAAGGCGAGACGTCTGTCTGGAAGTGAAGTTCATCATGTTTATGTTCTCAAGTAGGTTCATGGTCTGCATTTACATATATTATGTTTTTATCCCAGAAATGGATAATATTTATGTAATGTGATGTAACATTTTTTGTGGCATTTATTAATTAGAAAACAAACTTTGACGACACGTTTTTTTAAACTATGAATATGTAAATTGGCTAATGGAAATGGAATGAAAATAGCTATTTGGTGTGATTTAATTGTTTTTTATATATCACAAGTTATTTTGTCGGATTGTTCTGTCAGATGGCAAGAACAGCTGTTTATCTAGCCATTTGTTGTTATTATTTTTTTTTACTTCTTTAAATTAGTATGCATGTACTACAAGCATGTTCCATACCTTGGTGTTTGAGAGAGAGAGAGAGAGAGAGAGAGAGAGAGAGAGAGAGAGAGGGAGAGAGAGAGAGAACATGTGTCTGCCTCACTAAACAATTTACATATAAGAATATTGATGCCATTGTCTTATTGACGTCAATGAGGGAACACTATCTATATTTCATTATTAATATCAATTCATAGCATGTAATCAAAGGAGAGAAGCATGGCCTTTCTTGTAACCTGAATTCTCTTTTGTTTCAGCTTCCATGTTCCTGAATACACTCACACCCAAGTTTTATGTGGCACTGACAGGTACTTCATCACTTATATCAGGCCTGATATTGGTAAGTGAATATTGGGAGCTTTGAAGAATAAACAGCTATGATTACTTGAAACCAAATTATCTGCTTTTCCACCTGCTGCCTTGGCTGCTGCTGGGGAGAGAGAGCAAGAGGAATTTAGAATATAATAAAAATGGAAATCATCCAAAATAGCTTAAGAGCTCATTCAGATCTACTCATTGTACAAGCTGAGTCGGTCCAACTCTCCAGGGGATTCTTGCTAAAGTGCAATCAATGGAATCAGGTTAATTAGCACAAGATAGTGAAATATACCCATGGTAGACAAATGAGCTTTTGGTAGACAAATGAGCTTTTTCCTCTGATTGCACTTTAGCCAGAATCTCTTGCAAAGTTGGAAAGTATGATGCATGAATCTGAATGAAGTCTAAAACGAGATTATAGGCACATCATATGAGATTAGAAAATGTAAGTGTATCTGTAGTAAGTGCGACTGACTTTTTAGCATAAAAAGATGAAACCCCATGTGTGGTAAATGTCGACATATATGTGTATCCTACTCCTAGGCCATTATGTGTGCTAACACTCACAGTCCTGGGGGTGAGAAAGGCATATAAAGTGCATTACATCTTTATATAGGAAAAAAAAAAGAGACGAAGAGAAGTTCCTGGGAATTTGAGTAATTTGCC